CAGCCCCCTCTTCCCCCAACTTCCCCGGCTCCTGGTTGGTTTTGTGTTTGCTTTTTCGGACCCCACTCTGCCCTCCCCCCACCCCCAAAAAAAAGAAAGAAAAGAAAAACAAAAAAAATTCAAAAACAAAAAGACATCGGAGAAAGTGCCGCGAAAAAAAAGACAAAAACGGATGAGTTGCAATTTCCTTCGGGATGGCACGAATGTCGTGTGTTCGTTCCCACGGGCCCGGCCGGGCCACCCCGCGAAGGGGACGCGGGCACGGGAGAGGCGCCTGGCAGCCTGGAAAAGACGCCCTTGTGGCCCGCGTTCCCGCAGCCCTAGGCCCGGACTGAGTGCCACCGGCCGCGCGCCCGCTCACTGCGCGGAGCCCGGCGGGCCTGGGAGCGCTCGGCCCGGCGCGACCTCCGGCGCCCTCTCCGGGCCAGGCCGAGCCGAGCCGAGCGCACCTTAGCTGGATTCCGGCTTGAGTTGGGGTGGGCGTTGGGCCAGGGGTAGGGGTGCCCAGCCCTAAATCTGGGACCGGTCGTGAGGTCACACCTGGCCGGCGCGCCTAAGCCCGATTTTAAGGCCACGGAGCCGCGGCTGGCGCAGCCGAGGGCAGTGCCTGTTGATATGGTGAGGGCTCGCCGCCGCCGAGCGTCCCAGGCCCCGAACTCAGCCACAAACCCGGGCCCTCTGCTCCGTTCCCGGCTTAGGAGGTGGTCCCCGACCTGGCGAGCAGCCCCCTCCACCTCGCCTGGCCCGGTGCAAGAGTCGAGCCGGAAGAGCGCAGGACGCGGCGAGGGCCCCCCCGGGCCGCGCCCACTTTGCACACCCGCTCCCCGGTCCGCGCCCCTGTTTACAGCGTCCCTGTGTATGTCGGACTGACTGTACAGAATTATAAATCTGTCTATATCGACTTGTCCATGTACGTCTATTAAAACCATAGTCCGAGCGTGCTGACCACTGCTGATCCCCGACTGCTTCATTTGGCCGAGAAGGGCGGTGGGTAGGATGGGAACTGCGCGCCCCAGCTCCCGCAAGCAGCTGGGAAAACAAACAGCCTCCCGCGGGAGTCCCCAGCCCCCCATTCCTCCACCACCATTCCTGACCTGTCCAGTCCAGCTCCCTCTCCGAGCCTGTCGGGCGCATGCTGGCTGCTCAGGCCGCCCTAGCCGGAATGCCCCCGCCCGCCCTCTACGCTGGGCTGTGCAGGCTCTTCCTGGCCTGGGTCTGCTCGCTGACCCTGAGAGGCGGGGATGGGGGCAAGCCCTGAGAATCAGGGCAGCTGAGCGCTTTTCTGGGCCTGGGGTTGCCTTGTTCCCTGGGTGCCCGGCCTTGGCTGTTCCTGAGGATTGAGGAGGCTGGACCTACCAGACTCCTGCCGGACCGCCTGCCACCGAGTGCCTTGGGGAGCCCTCCCAGGAGAGCGCAGCTGCACTGGAGAGCATGCATATCACACCGGACTCGCGTCTCACCTCCCTGTCATCCCAACTTATCGAAGGCTGCCTGCTGCCTCTGCCCGTCTTCAGCTTTTGGAAACTACTGAATAAGACCCATCAGTAAACTGCCTGTAAAATTCTGCATTTCTTCAGTAAGTCGATTCTAATGGCAAAACAAAATGTTTGCAGCTGCGTTGGGGGGGTGGGGGGCTGGTAATGGGCCTCAGAATCACCTTGTGCCTGGGGAGTGGACAAGGCAAGCCCTGCCTGGGAGTGAGGCACAGCGCGGAGCTTGTGGAGAGCTCGGAGCACATACTCTCCAATCAGGTCAGCCCTGGCTCTGAGGTCAGGAGTTGAGTCCCTATTGAACAGTGGATGGAAAGCAAGGCTTAAGAGGACGGTGTGACTGAGCCAGGGTCACAGGGAGCGCGTGAGTTTTGAGAGGCCACAGCCAACCATCATTCTATTGGCCTTCTCACCTTCAGACGTGATCCTTCCTGGAGCATGGCTTAACCCGGCTGCTTGCCCTGGGACTGGGAGTGTGTGGGGCTGCGCAGGGCAGGGTGCTACAGGATGGAGGACGGAGGTGGGGGGCGGGAAGGCTGGGGCAGGGGGTTGGAGCCAGACCACCCCTCCCCCCGCGGCTCCAGTCCAGAGCTGAGACCCCTCACTCTCTGGAAACATAAACACAATCACATCTGGATTCAGAGTGCCTCCCCCAGCCTCACACATCTGCCAAGGCCAGGGGCCCTGGTCTCAGTGGAGGGCAGGAGGCAGGGGAGACTAGGAGAGAGGTGGGGGCTGGAGAACAGTGGGAGGCAGGGAGGAGGCTGCTCCTAAATGTCTGGCATGGCCCCAGGTAAGAGGCTGTCAGAGTGGGGTGCTGATGGAGACAGACTTAGGTAAGAGGCTCTCAAAGCAAGATGCTGGTGGAGACTTAGGTGGGGGCACAGGCTACACAGCTGCTGACTGGTAAGGAGCAGAATCGGTTTTGGAATGATCCTCCACCCATCATGGAGCTGGGGGTCAAGGCCCACCAGGCGAGTAGCCTTGGCCCTGCCCCACTGGTCTCACCCCGCTACTCTGTGCCTGGCACAGATGAGAGCACCCAGCCCGTCCGGGCTGCACCAGCCACAGGCCATGTCTGAGGGACCTGGGGGACATGGGATTCTGAGAAAGTGGGGAAGGTCCAGTCCTGCCCTGTCTGAGAAGTCTGGGGCTGGAGGCATTTGTTCCTTCCACGTTTTCTGGGCACTGGAGTTTGAGCAGAGAGAAACAGACCCAGTCCCTGCACTTGTGACAAGTAAACAAACACATGTGTAATTACAGACTGGGCTGAGTGCTTTTGAAGAAAAAGGACAGGGTGCTATAAGAAAGGATGGGGTCCCACTATCAACAGGGTGGTCAGACCAAGCTGCTCTGGGCAGGGGCTCCATCTCTGTCTTCAAGAGTCAGCACAAACACCTATGAAGCCCTTCCTTGAAGAGCACCTCTGTACCCCTCATCCTCGTCCTTCCCTGACAGGGTTCCTGAGGCGTAGAGAGGCCAGGTCACTTACCCAAGGTCACACAGTAGGAGGGATCGGATCAGGGTATTCAAACCCAGTCAGGGCCCACTCTGCCACACTCTGCATTGGGCTGACCCTGCCGGGCACCGTGGTCATTATAGTGGAAGGTCTCTAACTTTGAAGAGATCATGATTCCTGCCCAAAAGATAGGACTAGCACTCAAGAAGCAGTTGAGCACATTTATGTTCACCTGGTCCTGCCGAAGGGAGCCCCAGAGGGCTGCTGCAGGTGCCGAGGGACAGGGATGAAGGCAGACAGGCACGGAGGCCAGCCTCCCACATCTGTTGCAGGCACCGGTGAGCACCGAAGGAATCTGGGACGAGCCCCTGTACCCTGCCCTGAGGGCCTGGTCACGGAGGGACAGACCCCAAGTTACTCCTAGTTCTCTGTCCCCACCAGCTCTCGGAGGGAAGTGTAACTGGGCGATTGGACCAGAAAGAAACACTGCCAGGGTCCAGGCCCTGGAGGTGGCGCTGTGCCACGCTCCTGCTGCACACGACCGAGCCTGCAGCTCCCTGGACAGAGAGCCATGGGGCTTCGGGCTCCTGGAGGGTCAACCTAGGAAAAGATGACAAGGGTGGCATTATGCCTATAGCCTTTCCTGTTTGCCAGGACAGTTTGTCCGCTCGGACACATGCAGGAGACTTTACTTTCGTCTCTGAAAGCAGGGAACAATGGGGCGAGGGCTTGAGTTCAGGCTCCACCCTGCGTTACCTTGGACAAGAGGCCAAACTGCTCCCAAGCACTTCTTCCTCTTCCATAAAAGGCAATAACAACTACCTCCCACGGTTGTTTAAAGAGATCAATGAGCTAAGGCACCTACAGTGCTAGTTGCGGGGCTGGCATATAGTAAGTGCTCATTAAACAGTTGCGATGGATGGTATTTGTATTCTTAGAGCGATGGGGTTTGGTTTCTACCCTTGAGAGCCCTGTTCACCCACTTGCTGCATGAATGTGGATTTACTGGCTATATTTCCCCCATCAGTCATTTCTGAAAATGTAATCTGGGGCCTGACTAGGTTTTCTGCCCAGCACCAATGACTGTCAGTACTAAGAGTCCTGCTGCCTGTGCCCGCATGTCTTCAGCCCACCGGGAGCCATCCTGCCCTTGTCTCTCGGCAGCGCAGCCTATCCTCAGCAACTCTTTCCATCACCTATGGTGGTCCCGGCCCTGGGAGGTCCGCAGAATCACGCCCAATCTCTGCCGTCCATGGGGGCTGGGGACAAGGCAGATTGATATAGCCTGGGCTTGGGAAGGGTAGGCAGGGGAGCTAGGGCTCTTTCCAACCTGGCATGACCATGCCTGGTGTTTGCTTTGATGCAGATCTGGAAGGGACCCCCCTTTTCTGGATTATGCCATGCTGCCAGTAGCTAACATCGGACCCTTACCAAGTGCCAGGCCCCATGGCGAGCACTACTTAGAGCCTCCTCAAGAGGCAGGGACTTTTCCTTGCTTTCACAAGAAGGAATGGGAGTGGGTGGTGGGGGGCGACTAACTTGCTCGGGATCACAGAGCTCAAGAGACCCTCGGTGCTGCCGCTGAGCTGGATAAAGTCCCGAGTCCTTTATAATCAACGTGCCCCTCGTTGGTACAAAGGGATAAAAATGTGGACTGTACTTGGAAAGGCTGGTTCAGCTCTGCTCTGGGAGAAAGAAGACACCGGGCCTCCTGGGCCCTGCCCTGGAAGACAAAGGTGGGTGGAAGCACTGGTGGGTGGGCACAGAAAAGGGCTGACAGCGTTGGAATGTTAACCATTTCCTAGCTGGCTGTTTCCTGTCTGTACTTCTGCCAGCAAGCCCTCCCAGACTTCCTCCCAGCCCTGCCAGCCCCTCTCACCTCCCGGACCGCACCTTGTCACACAGTGCTGACCTTACAGCAGTGCCACCTTTCCAGGTGCTTGGCTCTAGCCTTCTGATTGGCTGGTGTGGCCCAGGGCTGGTGTCCACTTCTCCAGCGGCTGCAGGACACGCAGGAGACCCAGTTGCTGAAGCCCAGCCAGGTTGGAGGGCTCTGCTTCCATCATCTGGACCCCTCCCTGAAGCAAGGTGAGGCTGCAGAAAGCTGCAGTTGGAACCGGGTGGAGGCAGAGGGCAGGAGGGTCTCCTGAAGGAGGATGAACGCTTGCTCCCTGGCTGGCTGGCTGTCACGTTGCCCCACGTCTCCTTCTGCACCCGCCCCTGCTGCACCCTTTGCACGTTTCATTTCTCCATGCCTTATTTGGCGGATGAGGAAGCTAAGCCCAGGTGGCCAGGTGACCTAGGCAAAGGCATGCAACTTTGGGCTACCCTGGCTAGCCTGTCTGCGGAGCTCAACTCCTGCGAGCACTGCCTCC